GGCCGGTCCCGGGCATGCGGACGAACTGCTGCAGGTGTGCCTCGTGTCTCTGCTCCCGCTGTCTCTTCCGGGGGCACCGGCTCTGCACAAGCCTGGCTGGCACTGGCAGATATCGTGGGCTATTAATTAAGATGTCACTTACAGGCCCACTGGGTGACCTCAATTAAACACTAAAATGGCAAACACTAATAAGGAAGATGATATCCCTGAGGGCGGTGAATCAAGTACATTAACCTCCTTGCGCAGAAGCTTTCCTTCATTGGACGGAGATGAGGGATCTCCCGGCTGGCTGCCAGGGCTGAGCCCGGTGGCCCCGCTGTCGGTGGCAGTGGTGACAGACTCCCTGCCCATGTCACCTTCATCCTGCACCCCCAGTGAGCCCGACAGGATGGATAACTCCTGCACGATGGTCCTTGGACCTGTCCTCGGAGCACCAGGCATCTCTCTGGAGGACCGTCAGGAGGGGTTTCCCTCCTTTCGAGGAGCTTCCCCCCACTCTGGCTGGCGCGTGCCGCAGACCGAGGTGAGATCGAACCGCGCTGGGGATGCACACGGAGCTTTGCTGCTTGTTTCCTTCCTGCGCACAGCTCAGCTGCTGCTAAACACTTATTCTGTGTTCCCAGGGGGTGAGGGAGATGCCTTGGGAGACACATCTACATTTGTAAACTGCAATCAGAACTAATTAAAACCAACACAAATACTGATTAACAGAAGAGGGAACCTGATGCCAAGTCCCCTGGCCTCACCCCAAATAACCGTATTTTCTAGGAGGCAGATTCGCTTGTTCTCTTTCACTCCCAGCATCTGGTGGCTCATCTCCAGGTCCCAGCTCCGAGGCCGCCTGGCAGCCGCGCTGCCTTTGGAAGTGATGCAGGGAGAGCATCTGACGGCCGGAGCTTGTTCTGCCTGAAATGCAGCTTCTCCTTAAAAACTCACCGCGGGGACATTTCGGTCCGAGGTACGCTCCATCCCTGTTCTCGCTTTGCACCAGGCCACTGGTTTCAGTTAAAGCTGAATTTATTCCAGCAAAGCAGTTAAAATATTCACCACTAGTCTTGCCACCTTTAAGACTCCCTGTTCCTGTGCTCTGTCCCCAGGCAGAGCGCGGGGACATCAGCCCCGGACGAGGTCTCGCATGGCAGAGGTGTGAACAGGAGGAGGCAGAGGCGCAGAGCAGCTCACGCCAGAGCCCGCTGCCACGCGAGCACGCTGTCAGCAGCCCCAGATGAGCTCCAGCAGCAATAAAAACCTTTTGCACAGGGACTCGGTGAGAAAAAGGCAGAGATGCACCTTGCTGAAAACATCACACTGTAAATGTAAAAGGGAAATGGCTCTGAGCGGAGCAGAAAGCCAGCATGTTTAAAAGCAAATTATCGATTGCTGTTGAGAGATAACGAGCAGAGCCGCTGGACGGGGTGTGAGGGATGGACACTTCTAGGAGTATGGATTTGAAAGTGGTAACTGCAGCATGGGCCACCAGCTCTGTCCTGGGAGAAAGGCTCCTCGGTGCTCCCCTCCCATCCCAGGCGGGCGCCCCAGACCCCGGCTCGGTCTGTGCCCACGGCCGGGGATGCTGCTGAGGCTCCCCCCCGCCCCCCTGGGTCACCGCCAGCGCGAGGGGACGCTCGGCTGGAGGGCTGCAGACGAGAATTAATAACCGTGACGTGACCGTTATCGCACCGGCTCATCGGGCTGTTCCCTCTGCAATGAGCCTTTGCTGGGACGGCGCCTGGCAGTCGCTATTTCCAAATCACAGGTTTTTTGACAGCAAAAGGCTATTTTCCCCAGGCAGCCAGCAGGGATTTCATTGTTTAAATCGTGTGAAATCCTTCTTTACGAGGCCACTTGCCTTCTGGTCTACAAGAACGGCCTTTTGCAGCATCGATGTTCCCATTATCCCCCATGGTATGTGTTAGACAGACAGCCCACCCGCTCCGGCCCCGCTGCCCGGCTCTGCGCCGGCTAACCCCGGGGGTTTGATGACAGAGCGGCCGGGCACCGCTTCCACAGGTGGTTAATCCTCCAATTTGCTGCAAAGGATCTGAACAGTGTTTCCTCCAGGAAATGGGAGGTTTGCTCTGCTCTGCACATCCTCTGACCCAAAGGGAGGTGGGGAGCCAGACCCCAGCATGGCTCTGGCACGGCAGCCCCAGCACACACACACGAGCCTTTTCCCAGGTGCGGCATCAGTCCGGAGAGAGCAGCGACGGGGCTGCAGCACGAGGCAAAGTCCCGAGACCACCCTCCACCCTGGTCAACATCGACGTCCTGAGCGGGATCACGTTGGCATCGGCGGGGGGCAGACACCCTGAACAGTGCCAGCGCCAGCTCACTGGGCAGAGTGCCTGAACAAAGTTGATATTCCACCTTCAGCTCAACTTATTAACCCTGTGTTCCTTTCAAACAAACATCACACCGCTCTGTTGTTTTCTGGATAACCGTTCGCAAATGCCATCGCGTACAGCAGACGTGACACCGCTGCCTCGTGCCAGGCGCTGGAGTCAGACGCCGCGTCACCCTCCGACAGGAGCATCATATAAAATGGCATTAATCACATCGCACATCAGTCACAGAGACTGAGGGTAATCTGTCAAAGTCACAGCCGTGCTCAATAACCCTTTGGAGATGACTAAGTAATTAATCAATAATGCATTCTCACCTCTCCATTTCCCTGGGTCTCTGTGCCTTGCACAGTGGAATGACTGGAAAATAGCCCGAGCTGTCCAGTGGCTTCAGAAACAGCAGCTGGCGTTTATGGGGAGGTAAATCACCTGCCCCGGCCCCTCCTGCCTGGCTGCAGGGTGCCACGGCTCGGCTG